TACTAATTAATTTTATTAGCAATTTTTCTTGTTCTTCCTGTTTGTTTAAAACTGAAAATGTTTTGCAACAATCATCTTTGCATTCTATATTTATGTTTGGAGAGTCAGAATTGCTTGAAGACTCAGGGGAGTTGGATTCTAAGTCATGATGCTCTTCTTCATTTTGGTCTGTATCTTTTAATTTTACAATTCTAATTATGTCTATTTTCTCTTTTTCAGATATTTTTAACTAATTAGTTGTCTTTTTTTACTCTTCATTTGTATGCATAATGACAATATCTACCACACTTGTAACATGTATTTTTACTGTGATTTTTGGGATGGATTTTATGAACTGGTATTTTAGACCAGTTTTTCCTAGGTTTGCTTTTTTCATAAAATTTACTAGTATCAAAATTCTTGTTTTTGTATTTCCTGTTGTGTCTATAGTAACTTGTACTTAGGTAATATTCTATTCTTTTCTTTTTACTGGAAGGGGCAACAGGGGTTAGCCCGTATTGTTCACAAAATGTACCCAACTCATATTTAGCTGCTCTTTTATCCTTGTTGACTTGTTTAGTTATTTTTATGTCAGTACACATTTTTAGTCCTTCTTTTTGGGTAATATTAATTATATTTCCATAAGTAATGATATTGTATGGTATGATACCATCTTCATTAACTAATACTTGTCTGGTTTTATATGCAAATAGATTTAGTAATCCGTTAATAAATTTTTCTTTCCAAAAATATATTTATATCATCTGCCACTCAGTCCTACGGTCTTGTGGTATTCCTCTTCACTTGAGAGTGAGAAGTCTTAGGTTTGAACCTCGTAAATGGCAAATTCAATACCAAATTAGGTTGCCCATTGTGTGGCTTAGTCGAACTCCCCCTCCCCTTAATGTAAAAATATATTTGTACTAAAAAAAGTATCTTTATACCATCTAAAATGACTCAAGGTAGGAAATCTTAAATTATTAAGTTGATCATGTATTCTAAAGGTTACATTACTTGATGTTCCGATTAAATGTTCTATTATTGACAAAAATAATGTGTTGACTGAGTTTGGGACTCCCATACCAATTCTTTCACCAAAAATAGGGATTCCAACTTCATTCTATTTAACTGCATGTTTAATAGCTAATTTGGACTGTTCAGTGATGTGTTTTTCTGTAACATTCCTGTGAATCTGGTTGCCAAAAGGTCAACGACCTTTGATTGGCTAAGGTTATAGCTAATAACATAACAGCTTGCAATCATAGACATGTGTTGTAACTTGTTTAAGATTTCTTGCTCAAATAAACAATCTATGTTCCATACATAGAGTTTATCCGCATATACGAAAAATTAACTTTGTGAATTTTTCTTCAAATTGGATATCCGGAGGTGTTGGCCTGAATACCAATTTTTTGTAAGACTGGATGGGTTTACTTTGCTTCTATTCATGATCCTCTTTAATTCAAGATTTTGAAAGGCTTCTTCTAATCTTTCTATCGTGCTTAATTTACTGTCATCTGACTCAGAATTTATAGAGGTTGTTTCTGGTTTTGATTCTTGGTGTTTTTCTACGAAAACAGGTTTTTGTTCTATTTTTAATTCTTTGAACCTCTTATCAATTTTTCACTAGTGAAGTTTAATTTTAGGGCAATTTTACTAGAGAAAGCATCAGGAAATTCCAGTAAAGGTTTTTCCCTAGCTGCTAATTCCTGTTTTGGAAGTTTATCTATTTTATTTTCAATTTTGTTTAACTGTTTTTCTATAAAGTTTAAACTTTGGTTAGTAAAATTGTTTTGTTTTATGCCTCGTTTGACTCCAGCCTCGTCTTTTGGGATATTGTACGAAGTCGCACCTTGAGTGTTTGAAGTATTGATTAGGATAGTTTCTAGTGGGGAATGACTGGTTGAGACTAGTCTTTTGTCTTGTTTAATCCAATTTTTTTTCGTGATGACTTTAAATTTTTTCTCCGATTGATAATGTTCTTCAATAAAATCAAAAAACGGATATATCTATCCTATGTTTTGTCACAAAGCTTTTCCAGCTTTTAAAAATACCTAATCTTAGTTTTGGAGGGTAATTTTGTCTATATAATTCTCTTCATGGTATATTTTCTTCTTATTCTATGTCAGCATTTTAGTTTTTCCAATACATTTTTAGATGGTTTATTTAAAACTAATAGTTGAGGGTTTATATTTCATTCGAAATCAATTGCTAAAAAGACACTAGGCGCTAGTCGTACGGCGAGTTAGGGCCTAGCGCCTAGGCGCCTAGGCGGGCTCTAGTCAGGCGCCTAGGCGGATTAGACGGATTTAATTAAATCTATTACATTTTGTGTAAACAAGTGTCTGTTTATACTTAAAATATATATGATTTCATCATAAACTACAAAATGGAATGAGATATATTATGAGCTATTGGAACATAATGAAAACATGGGGAACAAGTATATAATGTGTGTTCCTTTAAGTATTCAACATGTCTCTTACAATTTATTGAAAAAATATAATGCAAAATGAAAGTTATCTATTTTCTGTCTAAGTGAGTCTCAATCTAGGCTGGTCTGGACGAGCTAGGCAGGTGCCTAAGCGGTCTAGGTTGGCGCCTCAGTTATTAGATCTCACATCGACTAACGGAGAGGGGGTGATGTGCCTTATATGTACATGCCCACCTCCATATATCACGAGGCCTTTTAGGGACTCACTGGCTTCAGATTCCATTGGAACTCTGAAGTTAAGCGAGTTCAAGCGAGAGCATTCCCAAGATGGGTGACCCATTGGTAAAATTCTGGTTTGAGTTCCCAGAAACAAATCTGTGAGGGAATGGTAAGCCCAAAACGGACATTATCGTGCTACAGCGGAACCAGACTGGGATGTGACAGAATGGCATCAGAGCCACTTTGCCGTTCGGTACGAGTGTGCCGATGAGGACGCCAGGTTCCCCTTAAGTGGGGGTGGATTGTTAGATCCCACATCGACCAACGGAGAGGGGGTGATGTGCCTTATATGTACATGCCTACCTCCATATAGCACAAGGCATTTTGAGAACTCATTAGCTTCGGATTCTATCGGAACTCCGAAGTTAAGCGCGTTCGGGCGAGAGCAATCCTATGATGGGTGATCCATTGGGAAGTTCTCGTCTGAGTTCCCATAAACAAAACCGTGAGGGAATGGTAAGCCCAAAGCAGACAATATCGTGCTACGGCGAAGTCGAGATTGGGATGTGACATCAGTAGGTCTAGGCGCTCTTTCTTAATTTTTAAACGCTTAGGCATTAATCGAGGCGGTGACCACATGTCTAGCGCCATTTTCAGAACAGTAGCTATAGGTGATGCTGGTTCGTCCTTAGAAGGTTTAGTTTAGTTTGACTTTGGCTTGCATAACAAGGTTGACCGACTTGAGAAGTTATTTTTACTGATTTGAGTTTCATATTCATTAATTAATTTTCCAATTCATGATCACAATCTAAAATGTCAATGAAGGTTGATTCTAAAAATGAATTTTTAACTAATTCTTTATCCTTAGTTGATCGACTTAGTTTCATTTTTCAGTGTGACCTGGTATATGACTTGTTACTATATAAATAGTGAGATATGTATGTTAAAGTTAATAACTTAAAAAATACAATTTCCCACCACTTATATAAAAACATGGTGTACCACCTATATCTCGATCACAACAAAAAATTTCTCCTTGAGATGGACACTAAATCTTCTAGGAGGATTAAAGTTGATTTTTACTGTGCTATCAAAGAATTGTTGTATATTTTCTAGGTTACATCGACCAGTTTACTTTTGTTGGTTAAAGACCAATTTGAAGGTAGACTAATTTCTGACCATTTAATTGCTCTAGGTATTCTAATGTTAGCATTTTTCTGATTACTTTGGATTAATAACGTTTGATTTTATTGGGCTCTTATTTATGGCTTGAAAATTCATATTTGTGCGCATGCACTTGTAATAAACTCTATATATTGAGGCTAGATGCTGAACTCCTACAACTTGGTAACCAGAAGTTTTCACATTTAATGTGAGTGCTTTTAAAATGAAAGAACATCTATCTAACTCCCTTAATTCAAATCCACTAGAATAGAAATTTCAAAAATAATTTTTTCTTTAGCCTGAAAAATTATTAATTTTCAAACTTTTGGGTTTTAATTATTTTCAAAAACATGATTTTGCTCATAGTACATCTACTTTAAATTTCCATGATCACAAATGAACCACAGCATCCAAAATATCCCCTGTGAACTCTTGGATACAGTTCATACTCCACCCGCCCCGAGGCCCAACCCAAGTTGGTCCGATCCATATTATCCAATGCCAATCATTCACGCGCTTAATCATCTAGATTAGTGACTACTTATCCTATTCGGATCATTATTTTTGGATTATGTAAAAGAATTTATGCCCTAGGACGTCCATTCACACCTCTAATTTCAGATCTACCGGGTCTCAATTTGTTACATATTCAAATAATAATCAACTTCATGATAAATACTTCTTTCGAGATGTGACTGTCTAAAAAGGTAACCTAAGTTTGATATCTACTACTATCACACTAGTATAAGTTCAATATATTGTTATCACACGCATGAGTTTAGTATATTGAACTCATATATTATGATCATATTGAAATTTTTCGACCCACTGTAACGTCCGATATGTATACGAATCTAATATATTAATATCAAACACACTTTTTTTAGCCTACTGTAAAAGGCCTAAGAAAATATTACTTTTAAAGTATGCTTTATAGTATTTATTAATATTCATGTCATGTCCACTTGCATCACATATCTTCACCGCTTAGCCTTCCTCACACAAATTCTTGTATGACAACAAGGAATATAAATACACATATCACCATCTCTCTCTCTCTCTCTCTCTCTCCTTGTGTTGAATGCTGATTTAGTCCCGTAGTTTGCTCATTCCTCAGCTTAACACACCCCCCCCCCCCCCAGCCCCAGCCCCAGCCCCAGCCCCACCCCCTTGATCAACACACAGAAAATTAAGATTAGGAAGTAAAAAACGAATTACACATTCTCAAAAATGGATATGACCCTCTTAGTCCACTCCATAATTCAAAGAATCGTCCTCACATGCCTAATCTTCTCTGATAAGAGAGAGAGAGAGAGAGAGAGAGAGAGAGAGAGAGAGAGAGAGAACACCTTGATCACCACTAACTCTGTATCATCATCAGCTTAATCCCCTCTTAGAACAGTCAAACTTAGACTGATTAAGAGACTCACATATTCCCAAAACCTACATCTCCCCTCCCGAATGTTTTCCTCTCACTTTTCTTACTATTTCCCTCTTAAACCACACTCTTTCATTCACTACCAATTCCTCTGCTAGCTTCTTCAACTTTTAATTCATTACTTGTATTTCTGAAGTAAATTAATTTGTTACATATCGTCATTTAGATGTCCATGGACTACTACAACACAAGAGAATTACAAGGCAAACAATCCAATGATCCTTATTTCATTGACAAAATGAGCAAGTCCTCTTCATCCCTGTCGTCTTCGTCCTTGTCAGCATCATCACCATCACCATCGCCATCATCTAGAGATTCTAGACTCGTAGTGTGTGCTCCAGGGCCGGTCATCGTAGGTGCAGGTCCATCAGGGCTTGCAGCAGCCGCATGTCTGAAGTTAAAAGGTGTACCAAGTATGATCCTGGAGAGATCCAATTGCATAGCCTCCTTATGGAAGCTTAAGACCTACAACCGCCTTCGCCTTCACTTGCCGAAGCAATTTTGTGAGCTACCCTTCATGCCTTTCCCTAATGATTTCCCAACTTACCCTATAAAGCAACAATTCATTCAATACCTTGAAGATTATGCTACCAAGTATGACATTAGGCCACAGTTCAATGTGACCGTGGCCAGTGCCGAGTTTGATCCCACGCTCGGGTTTTGGCGTGTGCGGACAACGGGAGTGAAGGGTGATGATGAGACGGAGTATGTGTGCCGGTGGTTGATTGCCGCCACCGGTGAGAATGCAGAGGCGCTGGTGCCGAAGCTTGAGGGAATGACTGAGTTTAAAGGCCCTATAAGGCATACAAGTTCGTACAAGAGTGGTGAGGAGTTTAGAGGGAAGAAAGTTTTGGTTGTTGGTTGTGGAAATTCAGGCATGGAGGTGTGCTTGGATCTATGTAATCATAATGCTAGGCCTTCTCTTGTGGTCAGAGATACGGTAAGAACTCTCTCTCTATCTCTCTCTCTCTCTCTCTCTCTCTCTCTCTCTCTCTCTCTAAACAAATGCCATTAAAGTGTTTTAAAATTTTTGGTGCCCTTGAGTTTTTTAGTATTTTGTTTTTAACAAGTTTTAATTTGTGTATATTTGTATATAATCAGACCCCATTTTGGAGAAATTTGTACTCTTGGCTAAAAAAAACTCAAGCTGCTTATAACTTCAAGATTCAACGGTTTGTTCAAAGTCGATTAAACATGAATATAAAACCCTATTTTAGGCAAAACAAAAATTTCTTTGGTCTTTCACTTTCTTGGAACACCCAAGCATGCGTAAAATTGGTCAGAAACTTGGGCTCTCTCATACTTTCAAACCTTTTTTTTCTTTTCTCAGAATAAAGAAACATTAGTGCCCTTAATATTCATTCGTCCCTTGGCATATGAAGAAATTAGCTAGCCAGAGTTAGCTAGGCAAAGTCCTAGCAAACAACATGAAATGGGACTCACCCATCACCTCCATGCTAATTTTTTATTGCCTTTCTTTCTTTTTGTGCACTTTTGAGCTTTTTTCGAGTGTAATTTTAACTTTATAATTTCGTGTTTTTTTTTTTTAATTGATTAGGTTCATGTCTTACCAAGAGAGATGCTTGGAAAGTCAACTTTTGGGCTGTCCGTGTGGTTGCTCAAGTGGTTGCCCATTCGACTTGTAGATCGGTTCTTGCTGGTTGTGTCTCGTCTGCTTCTCGGCAACACCTCTCAACTCGGATTAGACCGGCCGAAATTGGGTCCCTTGGAGCTCAAGAACTTGTCTGGAAAGACACCTGTCTTAGACGTTGGTACACTGGCAAAGATTAAAAGTGGAGACATACAGGTACTAAGTTTTTTCATCAAGTCAATTCTCAATCTCACTTTAATCTTCTCTTTTTCTTTTAATTTCCTCTTTGCCAGCCATGGCCTTTTAATATTTACACAGTACTTTTTCCAATGATGGTACCTAGATATGCCTTTTGATGTAATAGATGTCCCACAAACAAGTAAATTTTCTTTTTCTCTAGTCAGAAAGTTTAACATATTGTCATATGGTGATTTGTATTTACGTAGAAATGTGTTTAACTGTGTATGATAATAAATATTTTCACCATAATTGGACAAAATATGCATGGAGCTCTTAGAATCTTGTTTAATATATGTTATCAGTTTAGCTTCTTTTGCTTTTTATTGTATGTATAAATGTCGACTCAGTTCACTTTCCTGATTTTCTATCTTGTTATACTATGTGATATTGTAGGTATGTCCAGCCATCAAGAGGTTAAAACCTCACGCTATAGAATTTATTGATGGACGAACCGAGAAATTTGATGCCATTATATTAGCAACAGGTTACAGAAGCAATGTGCCCATTTGGCTAAAGGTACCAATCCCACTACAATATGTATTATTGATGTTGATTCTTGCATGAACATGTCGTACAAATATATATAGTAATTTGACTATATATATATATATATATAAAGCGTTTGCCTGACAACGTAAGTCTACCAAGAACATTTTACCCTAATTTTTACATATAGGGAATATAAGTTTAGCATTTACCCTAATTTTCACATTTATGTTATTGCAGGAGGGTGATATGTTTTCAAAAGAAGATGGGTTACCTAGAAGGCCATTTCCAAATGGTTGGAAAGGTGAACGTGGGTTATATGCAGTGGGGTTTACCAAACGTGGACTACTTGGTACCTCAATGGATGCCAAAAGAATTGCTGAAGATATTGAACGGTGTTGGAAAGCTGAGGCAAAGCATTGTACTCCCTTTAACGCCTAACTTTTCCCATCATCATCATCATCATCATCATCACACTGTGACGATTTTGATTTGATGAGCTAATAACATCGAGAATGCAGCTGGGAGACAAAGCAAGAGAGAGAGAGAGAGAGATTTCGGTTGGCCAGGAAACATTTTACCCAAGGATCACCTCTTGGACTGTTTTTGGTGGTTGGTGCCATGTGCAAAAAAAGAAAGTAGTGATTTCTGCTCACTCCCTCTTAATTCCAGTCCTTGATTTTGTTTGCTTTGTTCAATCCAATGACTAAAAATAAGAGAAGTATGCATGAAGTGAAAACGGTGCGCAGAAATCATTTCCGTAAAAAAAAAATGTTAGTACCAAGAAAAGGTTGAAAGGGAGAGAATTAGGTCCATGATTCCTTTATTTTTGAAATTGAAAAGAAGCTAGCTGCAGAGCATTGGGAAAGAGGAATTCTGAGAGAGAAAGAAGCATGGTGTGTGGTATTGATTTTGCAAGGTGGACCTCATCAGCTTCTAGCATGTACACTTCTACATTATCATTGTTATTGATCTCTAATTAGGTATGACTTTTTATAGAGGCAGAGAGATCAGTGATACAGATTAAGGGGTAGGATTTGGTATTAATTTTCATCAATGTATGCATATGATTGTGGTTTTTTTGCCTGTATTTCCAATGGGGTTGGGATGAGAGAATTGAGAGAGTAGTATTAATATTGATGTAGCTAGGGTTTTGTGTGTGTGGTTATTCTTTCTCTTTACCTAGCTAGGGTTTTGTATTTCTTTCTTCTTTTTGGATTTATTTTGGAGGGGTGTAGTGTCTTCAGACAATTTCAATGGAAAATTTGACTTGATCCACCGACAAATAATGAAAATCATTTCAACTAACTTCAATTTTTTTACCGTATACTCTTTTCCTTTTTCGTGGGCGAACCTTAGCGCAACGGAAATATTGCTCATTTGTGATCAACATGTCACGAGTTCATCAAGTGGTGGAAACAACCTCTTTGTAAAGTAAGAAAAAGGCTACGTTTCTCCCACCCATCCCCGACCCTCGCAAAATGGAGAAACTTGTTAACTTGGGTATGGGTAAATAGGGTAATGACAAAGTTTCCAAAAAAATAAAAAATAAAATAGGGTAATGATAGAGCGACTAAACTTGGAGACAAACTTTGTAAACTAAATTATGTGTCACCAATAATAATGAGCACATTTATTAATATTTAAGTAATAAATCAATCATCAATTTTCACATTTTTTAATTTCTAAAATTTTATTTACAAATTTAATTTCTTTAGTATTATGCACCAAACTTTTTGCTGATTTTTATTACTGCTGGCATGCAAATTTCGCTGTCAGAATGATTTCGATCCCAAGTAGAAGATTGGACCACCACTTTTTCAATCCAAGATACATAAAATAGGATCATCATACCAGAAAGTGTTCGAGAACCCACGTTTTTAATCATAGCACTTGGATCAAATATGTACATGTATATATGTGCTAACAATTATTAATCAACGCGATTACAGTAGTTTCATCATGTTTTTCCTAAAGGAGCACTGCATACAGCTAGCTAGCCAGCCCTCACTTACTGAGCTTTATGTTATTGTGACAGTAATTAAAATTTTGCCTAATTGAATTATTAGCCTATGTGGTAATAGGGTAGTTGAAAGATAACCACTGTGGTGAAAGAATTAGGATTTAAGTCTCTATGGTAAAATCTATTAGGATTTAAGCTCAAAATTGAAAATTCTGTCAACTCTCCGTTAATTATTAGCACGTGAGCCACACATACGAAGCTAAAACGAAACTATCCGTTAATTGTTAGCACGTAAAGCTTACATGTGAGGCTAACATTATCTTTTTAGCCTCATTTGTGAGCCTTATGTGCTAATAATTAATGGAGATGGTGAAATTTTCAATTTTGGGCTTAAATCTCAACAAACTTCACCACATGGGTTTAAATCTTTCTTTTTTTTTTATCACAGAGGTAATTTTCTGACTACCCTATCACCACGAAAACTATTTATCTCATTAAGCCATTATTACTTTATACTAGTAGGCATGCGTATATGCCATTTTCTCACACTTGAAATGGACAAAGAAAGAAGCAACTATCGAGCTCTCCACATCTTCTCGAATGATCAAAAGCAAAACAAATCTCATCATAATCAAACTTAGAGAAAAATGGGGTGGGTAAGATATATATATATATATATATATATATGATTGATGAATCCAAATAGTAATTAAGCATGACAAAATCATGTCACTATAATCCCGGTGAAATTGGGTAAGATTAGAATTTACCAACCCCGATTGTGTTAGACTTGAAGAGTCTAATTAAAGGATATCCCAAAATACATGCGGTATGTATCATATAACAGAAAATATGCTATCATCAGTTGTTCTTGTATATAGGAATAACATATGTCAATAACTGACAATCATTAATTTAATCCAAAAACTCAGAATCCCAACCAGATTAATTGTTAATAATGTTGAGTCCCACATCGGGTATAGAAAAAGAGAAATAATAGTTTAAATATCTTAACCTCACTCCAACTAATATTGAGGCCTTTTTGTGGTAAAACCTCACTTCTGACGGATTGTGTAGTTGATTTTTACCTAGTTGGGGACAATATCGATGTTGTTGGCTGGTCTCTCTGATAATTCGACATGGTATCAAATCCAAGGATCAAATCCAAGGACCGGGCCTATATTGTACAGCCACGTGATGGATGGGTCCCCTTAGCCCTGCGCGATAATGGTGGGTCCCTTAGCCCAACGTGTAGGGTGAGTCCTCTTGGCTCCGTGTGGTTGCCGATGTGTGGATCTCCTATGTGTGACCTACTAATTGGGCCCCATGTGAGGGGGCGTGTTGAGTCCCACATCGGAATAGAAAAAGAGAAATAATAGTTTAAATATTCAACTAATACCGAGGCATTTTGTGATAAAACCCCACACCTGACGGATTGTGTAAAAGTTGGGAACAATATCGATGTTGTTGGAAGTGGGCATTTGGTCCGTCTCTCTGATAATTCAACAAATAAGCCCTCAACTAAATCCTTCATTATCTAGAAAGGATCAATCTCTCATATCAACGGCCACTTAATACTATAGCCTAGTAGTATTCCTCTTCACTTATAAGTGAGAGGTCACAGGTTCGATTATCATCAAAGTTGAATTTGAACCACATTATTGCTAGCCTAGATATTATCGTTGTTAATAAAAAAAATTAAAAAAATTAAAAATTAAAAAAAAAAAAAAACTCATGTCAAGGGGATCCCAACTAAATTGTCAGCATTTTTGCTCTCAGCTAAATTCCTTGGTTAATATATCACCAATAAGATCCACTTGATCTATCTGACTAATTACAGTAACTTCTATAACCCTTAAATTGCAGGATGGAACCATATATATGGGGATGGTTCAAAATTCAAATTAATGTCGCTGCATGTCAACAAAAAGAAAGATAGATGTCGTGATTATCGTTATTGGCAATTTTCACTTGGTCTAGTAATTCACAGTCTTCGTTTTGTTAAAAAAGTCGTGAATTCAAATATTTGACGAAATTATTTTCAACCATACCGACACATGCATCTAATTTGGATATCATTGAAACTTCAATATAAATAAGGTTTTGGTTTTATCTATTCACGTAAAATAGTCGTGCCAGTTTCATATATTGCTACTAACACGAAATTTTTATATGATACCGTATCACCACGTCACTTGTGATACTGTCATTGAAAATAGGAAACTTTAACGAAAAACACCCGGTACTGTTCACTTTAACGAAAAACCACATTTTACACTAAAAAGTCAATCCTGGTACTATTCACTTTGCCCTTTATTTTGTCCTTATCATTAAAACTCAAAGTTTTCAAACCTTTTTCATTAGTTTTCCTTTGAAAATATGCCATATGTCCTTTATTTTCACAGCTGGATTTAAAACCTAGTTTAATCATTTTTAAAATATAAATTAAAGATAAAAACGTCAGAAAAGGAGAAGAATAAAAAATAAATAATGCCACCTTGACAGCCTAGCACAGTGGTGAAGCTACAGAGGAGCAAAGAGGGGTGGCCGCCCCTCCCCTCGACGGAAATCAAGCCCAGGAGCAGTGGTTCCGCCCCTCTGGTCCTTTCGGAAGTGAGCAATCTTGTCTGGTTCTCTGGTTTTTGGTGCTCTGTAACAATAGTTTCTGTTTTCTATTTTTCAAAACCCAGGCTAAAACGCCTCGTTTGGACTTGGGCAAAGAAAAAAAAATTTAGTAGAACGGTGCGTTTTGGTTTGTAATAAAAGGTGTGATAGTAGGGACCATGCATTGTTTTGTTGTTTAGTAACACGTGATCATCGAAGCCTTAGCATTAACATCCTTCTATTCTTCTTTCTCGTGGGATTTTTGAATGATTTCAAGGCTGGATTTTTCCTAATAATTTCGATATAGAATTGGAACTATGCATGCTAGCCAGATAAATATTGGTTTACGCTTTAGTAGATAAAGTTTTTTTTTTTTCAATAAACTATGTGTCTCAATAAACTACGTGCCTCAATAAACAATTGCGTATCATCAATATGTTTTTACTAACACATTCAACGTACTTATGCACCCATTACATATGTACAATCGACCAAACCACATGTATGCACCCAATTATTAAATTCGCCATAGAGTACAAGAATATCATTTTATTATCACTAAGTTCGTCATAGTGTGGCAGTTTGTAATTAATATTAATAAATTATGAACGTCGTTATTATTTTCTACTATTTAAAAGGATTTAGTTGTTTACATTTTTTTAACCTTGCACCCATTTGAACCCGTCCCTCCTCATGCCAATTTCTAGCTTCACCACTGGCCCAACAGAACCCTAACTCGCGATGCCTCTTTTCGTCACATCGTCACCCCCCCCCCCCCCTCTTCTCTTCTTTTCTTTCTCTCTGGTCTGCTCTCTCCCTCTCTCATCTCATTTATCTTCTTTTTTCTTTTTGTTAAGTTATAAACTTATTAATCTATAAAAGACTTCTAAATAAAATCTTATAATGATTCAATTGCACATATAACAACTAAACCATTATAAAACAAATATGGTGGGAGATTGCCGGACTGCCTCACAGGGTGGGGGGTGGGCAGTGGTTCTTTTTCTCTGACATTTTTTTTAAGTGATAAAATTGATTCGAGTCCAACTATATAAACAATGAACACAAGGCCAATTTTCAATAAAAGTATCGCAAGCCGATAATTTCTCGCTACTAACCAATAGAAAAGTTATGCCTACATATATAGCCTAAGAAATTATTTACCTTAAAAGAGGCAAACTCAAATTCGTGGGTTTTCTTTTCCGGTTTGCATGTTTTATTGCATTGCAATTTGCGTGGGAATAACATATATGGTACGACGTTGTGGGAGAATGCATGAGTTGAGTTTGACAACTCATGATGATTACAAGATGCATGGAAGGATTTCTTCCGACCGAATTGCCTTGATGAGGCAACACATACAAATCGAATCTTATGCTGCTTCACAATAAGGACACTTCATCCTCCACAGTCAGAGAGACAGAGAGAGAGAGAGTTTTCAACGTCAATGGGTTGTGTTTTTCTTCTGCAATCCCATTCAAGGCAAGAGATTGCGAATGGCGGTGTGGCCCATGAGATCTCAAATGTTGGTGGCCACTGGCCCGGGCCCCTTTGGAACATTATTTCCTCCGTAACCTCTTTTTTTACTGTGTTGAATTCATTTTTTGTCTATACTTGTAGATTGCATGAGCCACATGAAATATCCTTTACTGCAAAATTAGTTTCGATGCAAGACTTTTTTTCCAGGAAATTTCACTCTCCAAC